CCAGTTGTTCGTGCAGGCGAGCTGATACCCGTCGAGATGGCCGATAGGAATGAAGCACCAAGTATCACCGCCGCTTTTCACTACGCATCCCTTCTCCCAGCAATCAGGAAAGGTGAAGTTAGCGGTAGCGCATGTGATGAAGAGGCAAACGAGGTAGAGAGCAGTGTTGGTGATCATTACACTTGAGTCAAAGGTATCCTCGGCGCGGGCGGAGGCTGATGGGTACTTGGTCTCCGACCTAAGTGAAGCGCCCACAAAAGCCGTAAGAATAACCGGATAGATTCAACCCCAAGCCGCGCTGTGAGGCCGAGCTCAGAAAGACAGACAGCGCAAAGGACACCACCATTGATGAAAGCACATCATTCATGTCCATGATCTTGAGCGTCCCGAAATTCTCTGGGGATAGCAACGTGGATGCACGGTCCAACGGAACATAGTGCTCCACCCAATGGCCGCTGAAAGTTTGGGTGGAATGCCCCCAATAACGACAGCATCACACGTCAGGATCACCAGAGAACGCCCACTACTACGCAAATGATCGCCCCACCTCGGCACTCAAAGAGCTCGGGAGGAATATTCAGTGCTGCGCTAGGCCCCGCGATTATCTGCTCCTAGCCAGAGAGATATCGCGGTAGAACAGCCCCCATCGCGACAGAGAACGCGGTCGGCAGGAGGGTGAAGCGAACACGTCATCTACACGCTAAAGTTGTCAAATGCAGCAGCTTAGAGTATCTATGAGTCGCATATAAGTGTTCAGCGAGCATGCAGGAGAACGCACCATAACGAGAGGGAAAGAGGCCTGAGGGCGGGCCTCGACCTCTCCTCGCAACTCCCGCAGCTCCGGTCATCCATCCGCGTGCCCGCCATAAGAAGGGACAGCCTGATGTAAATCGAGTTAGCCGGCTATGTTGGAGGTGCCCACAGCGAGTAGTAAGCAGGATGGGACGAGCGCGGTAAAGTAACAGGCTAACTGTTACATGCGGCTTCATCCGGGGACACCGGGACTATTTCCGATGGGACGGATGCTTCAGTCGAAATAATCATGACCTACGCGTCTGACGCTGCTCTGACTATTCTATATCAGTACTCCGGAAGTCGTAATTGGTCGAGTCTGTAGTGCGCACTGCAGCGAGCGGTCCCGAGGACTAGATTGTGCCGCTGACTTTCACAAGTAGGAAGTATATGTATTAGGTATTGATATAAGGAATTGGGAGGAGGCATGTTTGAGGCTAGCCGTCGCTTCATATTACATGTTCTGGCGTCGCTCCAGCCTCAATGGCGGCTGGTCTTCGATGGCTGTCCGACCGTGTTACACAGCTAATTGCCAGAGAGCGAGTCTAGCATTCGACACGAATAGGAATGGGGAACAGCCTTGCCAGAACTTCAAATTGGAGAGACTTTGATCCCGCACGGCGGAGTTGACACGTTATGACAGGATCTTGGCTTCAACTACTTCGGCAGCGTCTCCAGGCCGACAGCGATGCGCTCGCTGAGCTTGACGTCTATGCTGCTAAAGTTCAACTTGAGCGTACGATCGCTAAAAGCACCCTTGCCGACGCCCAGGCAGCCCTGAACGCACTGGACGATGAGGTCCAGCGAGCCGACGCTCGCAGAGTCATCTTGCAGTCTTCTATCAACGACCTGCGCAATGTTATTCATACATCAAGCAGCTCCTCTATTGGTCGCCTGCCCGACGAAACGCTCACCGAGATTTTCCTCGCACTAGTCTCTGGAGACGACCCCGAATGGACCTACATTGGCATTGGCGGCTTCAACTCACATCGCGCCCGAATGCCATTCACGCTCTCTTCTGTCTGCCGTCGATGGCGCGACATAGCAATAACTCAAAAGGCGCTCTGGACGTATTGCGGTGTGCCCGTTATCCACGAGCACCATCGTCCCACCAATGTAGTCGCGCACTTGCGCCGCGTCAAGACCTTACTCAGCCGCTCTCGAGACGCGCCTCTACATGTCCTCCTCGTATGGGGGATGGCGGCCGTCTGGACGCCAGCTTCGTACACGCACCTGATTTTCGAAGCTATCATGGCGCACATGGACCATTGGCGTGTAGCCGAGATATGGCTGCCGCAGACGACTGGCGAAGGAGCGTCTCCATGGAAGTCGTTCCAGGGCTCCACGCCGCTCCTCGAGGAGATGCTTATCCGCGGGAGCGACACTGTCTCGTGGACCTCAAGCGACAGGCCGTACTTGCCGCACTGTCCGCGCTTGCGCTCGTTATGGGTCTTGCAATGCCCCGTCATCCCTCGCATATGCGCATCGGCCCTACAGAAACTACAGCTCCGCGTTGAAGCGCCCACTCACCGTCTGTGGGCCGCTTTACAGGCCGCAGCGCAGACACTCGAGTCACTCAGCCTCAACAAAGACACGCCGTCGCAAGACAACGAACCGCCCGCTACACTCCTCGCATTCCCCTCCCTCAAAGGGCTCAGTCTCGCAGGCAAGGGCGCGTCAATGATGATCGCGCACGGGACCGGCCGCATCGCGCTCCCCGTCCTCGAGCGCCTCGCCCTCGATACGTCAATGCTCGACGAGCTCGAGATATTCCTCCAGACGCACTGCAAGCGCGTGCGTACTCTCGCCGTCCGCCGCCACCCCGTCTGCGAGCTCCAGAGCCGCCAGGCCAACCAGCTGCGCCCGCTCACGCGCGTGCGTACCGTCTCGCTGGACGCGTCCGTCCACGAGCAGTTCTTCGTCGCCGCAACAAGCAGGTCCCGTAGCCCATGGATGTGGCCGGAGCTCGAGGAGCTCAGTCTGAATAAGTTTACGGAGACGAACTTCGAGGCTCTGCCTGCGTATTTCCGCGCTCGCAATGCTGCTGCGGATGCTGGTGGCGATGGCGCTCCAGGACGCGTGAAGATGGTCAAGTTTTGCGGCTGGGGAGGGTCCTGGCGTATACCGGGCTGGGTGAAGGGCGAGGTCCGACATCTGCTCGGCCAGGAGAACGTCGAAGAGGAACATGAGGATGCCGACAATCCCGATGACGAGGACGACGAGGAGGAAGAAGACGACAAGAAGGAGGAGGACGAAAAAAAATGAAGGAAGAAGTAAAACCCTCTGCGTAGCACAAATACAAGTGATGATTACTGGCGGCTCAAAACCCCTCATCGTACAACTTGCGGCTGAGCGCAACATACAGCCTTTCAAGATCCGCGCGCCTCGCCAAGTCGCTCTTCCGCTTCTCCTTCTCCCGCTCCTTGCCGTCCTTGTCCTTACTACCGAGCGGCACGTGCTCCGCGATCCAGTCAAACACGTTCGACAACCGGTCCGTCTCGCGGTTCACCTCCTCGGCGTTCGTGACAGTGCCACGGCCGTCGCGGGCGCGCTTCATGCTCTCGCGCACTCGACGGCCTTCGCGCTCCTGCGACTGAGGAGACGAGCCGAGCGCCGGGTCGTCCTTATCGCGATACTCCTCCGTCTCGCCCTGTGCCTCGGCCGACTTCTTAGACGACGCGAGGTTGAAGACGTCCAGCAAGCCCTCGACGGACCCGCTCAGCCCGCGTGCGCCGCGCATGTCCCAGTGGTCGACCTCCTCAAGCACGCCCAGGAACTCACCCCACCGCGCACTCGTAACGCTCACGAGACCGTCGTTCCCACCTTCCTCCGGCGCGCACGAGGCGTCAAGAATGATCTTGGGCAACCAGAGCGGGTGCAGGATCGATAAGCCCGATATGCGACCAGCGAGCGAAAAGTAGCGAACGTTGGGCATGTCAGGTGTCGTAGGGTTGAAATGATTCTTGAGGAAGAAGGTCGTCAAGTTGCTATACGCCGGCGAGTCGATCAGGCCGAGGAGTACTGTTGTGAAACTAGAGGGCAGGCTGGCAAGAGCGTTCGCGCCAATCAAGTCCACGACGCTCTTCTCCTTCTTCTCCTCCTTCGGTTCTCTGGGTCGCGGCGGCGGTCGCTCAAAGATGGGGTTCTTCAGAGAATAAGGAAGAGAGGTTGGGCGTGGGAATGGCGTGGAAGTGCGTGGTGCGCCGATGCCGATGTTGGCAAGACACCAGTCCATGAAGGGTGAGCCTCGGTGGGGTGTCGACACGGTGGTGAGCGACACCGGCGTGTACTCGGTCGGCCGAATGTGCGTGATGAGATGTCGACAGTCCAAGCCACCCATGCTGTGTGCCATGAAGTTGATCTCGCGACCTTTGGCACGAGTTTGGAGGAACGAATCGAGCGTTTCGGCGCGCGTCTCGATCGAGCCAGTAGATGGAACCGCCGCAACCAACACCTCCGCGCCGACCTTGTTCCGCAAGATATCGAGCACGTTCGACCAGTAATGCATCTGCAGCCGCGGAAACGACGACGGCCCACGGACGTCAAAGCCGTAAAGACCTAGACGTTGGGGCGCACGTGATCAGTACTGGGGCAGCGCGAACGTGGCGACGACGGACCATGGCAGAGCACTATAGGGTGTCGGGGAGCGCGCACTGGGTTGAACAGCACAGGATTGGCCATGAGCTCGTGTATCGGCCAGGTATATGGCTCGCGCTCTTCGGATGGCCCGGCCGGCGTCTCTGGTGCGTCATTGGGTCGTTCAGACGTCGCTGGAACGCGTTTGAGCGCTGGTCGCGACGGCGGCGCGTGAGGGGCGTCCACGTCGGGCTGCCAGGGCTCCCAGGCGTCGTCACCGTCGTTGTGCGACTGCTGCTGCTGGTGGGTGTGCGCGCCGGCGCTGAACGCGACGCCCAACCGCCGACGTCTTGTGGCCGTCGCCGTCGCCGTGTGGGCCCGTATAGCGTCTAGATGGACCCAGAAGCGACGAAATAGCGAGAGAAAAGGTATTCGAAAGCTCAACGGAACCATCGACAGAAAGCATAAGGACAAGATGCGGATTCAGCCGGGGACGCGGCGCACGTGCGACTTAGCGCCAATGCGGCGAGTGCTTGGACATGTCCGGCCTGGAGGACATTAGACAAGTGCATGTGCGCACGCCACAGGAGTATCAGGGAAAGAATTAGGAAGAGAGGGAAAAGCAAAAGATCTACGCCGGAGGGGAGTCGAACCCCTGCCCTTCGCTTACTCGGCTCCTTGCAGAACCTGGAAGGCGAAGATGATAACCGTTTCACCACCGGCGTATGTTGACGACGACTCAAATCAAAAGACTATATGGCGTTAAATCATCTGCTGCAAGTTCTTCACGGTACGTCAACATCACTCCCGCACACGCACATGCTTTTATTCCGAGCTAATGATGGAAAGAAGCTATATACTGCATAGGTAGAGCTGTCTTCCCATCCATCCGCTGATACATGCAAAGCCGTCCATCCAAGCATGCAAGGCTAAGCGGTACATCGCGATGTTGGAGAGCACAGTCGCGGATCTCTCGAAGAAGTTGGGCGAGGCGTACGTAGCTCTCAGCGTGTTTCTTCCGCGCCGTGACGAGTCTGTAATGACCAGGCGAGTACTTGCGGACGGCCGTGAGAACGCCCTTCCTATCGTAAAACCCCACATGAAGACGCGAGATACCAGAGAGAAAGAGCTGGTCAGAGATCTCGTCCCAGCGAGGGAAGTGCTCGTTGAAGCAAGTCGTGAGCTCGACGAGGTCGCGTTGATCGATTCTGTGTCCTTGGTTGATTACACGTATCGGCTCGCTTGGAGGAAGTGCCGTAGACTTTTTCGTGCTGCTGGATGCGTCTACCAGGGGGGCTTCCCCGATCGTAGATGAGACCTCGACGGAGCTCATGCTGCTCGCACCCGACGGGTTCCCGTATAGAGAGAACAAAGTGGTTCCTTCGCTGAAGGTAGAAGTGCTTGAAGGGCTGAATGCTCGCTCAAGTGGAGACGACGAGGGTGTTGGCACGTGGGATAGGTGGACACGAGCCATGTCATCTGTCAGGGAGTGTACGGTGCCATCTTCTGCTAGTGACGAAGCAGAAGGCATAGCGGCGTTGTGAGACCCAGGCGCTCCCATCTCGTCTCTGACGCAAGCGTCCACTTCGCAGCGAACGAGCATTGCAAGCCCGTCCAAATTCTAGAATCATGAAGTAAGGAATGTGACGTCCTCGCCGGGTATTTATCTGATTACGCACATAGCGAAGGATCCGATTGTAACCCATGAAACGCATGTACGAGTTTCCCTCGCCATCCGGATCAGCGTCAGAAGAGTAAGTTGCCGCCCGCTCAAAAGCAAGACCATGACCGTGCGGTCCCCGAACGTGATGCTCGTTGTCTCTCAACTCCCTCCGACTGAGCAGCAGCGTGCGTTTGCCCACAACGTCGACGTCGATGCGAAACTCGAACGCCCCGCCGCGCTTCCCATCGCTCCGAATCCAGCGTAGGAGGCGGCGGAGGCTGTTACGGGCCGTGATGACGTCAAGGTCGTGAAGCGGGTAAGACGGCTGTTCACACCGAACGGCCGCCACAAGAGCGAGCAGCGGCCACTGGGGTACGCTATCGGCGTCCTGCTTCTGACCGATGTCACTCATGCGGTCTCGAGGTAGATGTAAGCCAACTGCAGGCTCCCGCCAGATTGGCGCCATCCCTGGAAGTACGTGAGCAGCTCGCCCCAGCCTGGCGCATGACTCGGAGAACGATCAATCGCACCTGGAACTGCCAGAGCAGGTACTGGAATAGTTTCATTGAGCCATGTATACGACGCGATGTGCTGCAGATTGGTGAGAAGAGCCTGCCGCGGATGTGGCTGACTCGGATCTTCAGAAGCATCATGATCAGGCTTGAGCCTCGAGACATCGAAGAGGTGAATTTCCTCCCCGAGACCGAGAGAAACATCTTCAGCGACTACCGCTGCAGCTGGACGGAAGCGTCCTGCAGGCATGAGGCGCACGTTGGCGAGAGTCAAGAGCTGAGCTGTGACCTCGACAAACAGACGCCTCTGGAGTCCGGCGTCCATCGAAGTCGCGGATGCATTCCGAAGTCGCAAGAAGTCGCAGAACTAGTGCCACTGTAAAGATTGTGAAGGCGTATATGAGTGAATCATGCACTGTACACGTAGCTACATTGTGCTTGGTGAGGACACCGCAATACGTCCATAGTGCCTGTCGCGATGTCGCGCTATCGACAGCAGACAGAAGATAAAGTGAATGGTAGACGTGCACAACGTGAGTTGAACCCGCCAAGGCTGGTGCAAGTCCACTTGGGGTGGTCGTCTCCAGAGACTAGTGTAATGAAAATCTCGGCAAGCGTATCGTCAGGCAGAACACCGACCAGAGACCCGCATGCCGTGTGAATGACGATGTGTAGGTCGTCGATAGAAGTCTGCAGCTTTACGAGCCTCGGCGCACTGGACTTCCTCGTCTAGAGCATTTAGTACGGCCTGGGCGTCTGCAAGAGATTTTGGCGGCCGTCCGCTCCAGTTTGACCTTTTCCATACCCGTCGAGATCAGTAAGCGCGTCTCTGTCGGCCAGCAGACGCTGCTGAAGTAGTTGGAGCCAAGGTGCTGTCATGTCGTACCAACTCCGCACCGCGGCTGGAGATCAAGTAGCTGGTCAAATACAGAACCTGTCATAGTTGCAGACGTCAAACCACTTTCGTCCGCCTTGCTAGCTCAATCGGTAGAGCGTGAGACTCTTAATCTCAAGGCTGCGGGTTCGACCCCCGCGTGAGGCTACGCGCGACCTTCCTTTTGCCTCTCTTCCCTTTGTCTTTATTTTGCCCTATTCCACCTACGTTTTGGCCTCTTTTGATCAGATATTGTTTTTACCCTCTATAAGCTGCTGTCTTTCACTCGGTATCCGCAGTAGAGAGACTCTCGCACAAAGTTCAATCTCGTTCGACTGACTGTTTTCGAAGTCAGCGCCACAGCTCTTCCTTTCTCCAACCATCTTCCCCAGCCTTGTCCTGTTTCCGGCCTCTATCGTCGTGATTTCCTACAGCTCGAGGTGTCGCCTTATTCGTCTTGCGGTCAGCTCGTGCTGCTTTTTACGACCGTCACCCAGGTCGCCGAATCGCTTTCGCTTCGCCAGCAAGCATGTGTGTTGAGCGATGCGTCGTCGGTGCCTGACCCAGTCCTCGTAGATTGATGCTGCATTCTACATAAGGGAGCCGGTTGAAGGCTCGACGGTCGTGAATCTGGCGCAGGTAATTTACAGTAAACGGTCGCTGCACTCTGGTATCTTAAAGTCGGTTGACGGCTTGCGGCCCTGCTCGCTCACGCTGCTTCGAGCTCGACGATCGTTGTGTCTGCGGCCTCCCATGTCTTGACGAGCTTCAATCCAGCCTTCGCGCTAAGAAAGCTTCAGTCCTAGCTCGGCGTACAATGGATAGGTAACGCACCCAATCGCGACAAAGTCGTCCAACGTGCGCTCTCGACTGTTGAATGCGGACATCATGTTCAAGTCCTGGTTGTACTTGCGTTGCGCGCCGACGCCGAAGTTGGGGAGAAGCGGGAAAGGGGCCTGCCTCTCGTCAGCCTTCGCCTCATTGCTGCGCCCGCGCTTACCTTCTCGCTACTCTCGCTCACGGCCTCGGGCGCCGCATGCATGAGGATGAACTCATCTGTTTACGCGGGCGTTAGATGTTTGCAGACGATCCACGTCTCGACGAACGGATGAGGACTTTGCTGCCCGGCTTCATGGCCTTGCGCGTGTTCTTCAGGATAGTTTCGCAATCTGCGTCTGGCCAGTCGTGCCTGTGACTCGTGAGATACTGGCACGTGTTCGACCTGGACTACCCACAGAACGTGCTTCATCTACAGGGCTTCATCAGTCTGTATCCCTTGAACCTCGGCGCTGACGCACGTAGTAAAAGTCGCATCCCTCCACCGGCGAGCCTGCGAAGAAATCTATGGGGACGAACTGGACGCGCTGCTTCTGGACCGCCTCGGGGAACTCTTTCTGCCAGACCTGGATCATAACGCGGTTAGGAAGTGCGTTGCTTGGGCATCCAGACCTACATCTTTCGCTTGCTCGACGACTGTGGGCAAGTCCTGCACCACGGCCTTGATATGCGGTTTTGCCTTTGTCAGAGCCATCGCGACATGGCCGACACTGCCCCCGACGTCGCAGAAGGTCGCGTTGGCGGGTACCGAGTCCCATGGGTAAACTAATGGCCTTTCAGCACAAGCGCGACCTCAGCCAATATTCACTCACGTTGCACGACAACTTCAGCGCCTCCGTGAAGTTTCGTCCATCCCAGCATCGCCTGTGGGAAGCGCTTTTACGGTGGAGATATCAGCTGCGCTCATCCCTGACGCAGGGCGCTCACCTCCCCGCGTTTGGCCTACAAATATGGTGAGTGTTTTCGATCGCCAGGGAAAGGCACCATATGCTCACGTCGTTTGTCATGATTTCGAAGACATTGTGCTTGTGCGCGCGCGTGAACGCGGCGTGCTCCTTGTCCGTAGAGTCGGTCCACTCGGCGTCGGTGAGTGCGTCGGTGAGGCTCGTCATGCCAAAGTACATCTCATCAGTCCTGCAGTTGTTTAGTCATCTCATCTCCGGAGGAACAGAGAGAACTGACATGTGTCCGATGAGCCCGCTGGTTGTGTCTTCCGGGAGCAAGCAGACGCTGAGTCTGTTGTTTGCCCAGACGTCCTTGCTCACTGTGACGATCCCGTCAGACGCCTAACTCCGGAAGACCGAAGAAAGCACCTTCGCGGAAGCAATGCTTCGTCGCCAGGTTGCGCAGGATTCTGCCCAACTTGTCTGCACTTATTCCCGAGGTCTTCGCCAGCTCTGAGATGGGCTTGGGGCCGTCGCGAAGTTGCTCGGCAACACGAGCAGTGAGCGCTACTCGCAGGCAAGCAGGGTTCACCATCTACAGGTTCCCGAGTCAACTCCAAACTCTCCCTGGTAGCTCAAAACACCGCACCTCGTATGCGCGCTGACGTCTTGTTCTTAGTATCGTGTTTCAATATACAACAAGATCAACATACGTTCACAAGAATGTGATTGGGAGGAGCGACGCTAGCGCACAGCTGGGCGCAAGCGCTCTCGAGGACGCGGGTAGCTTCGCGGATGGCCCGGTTATCCAGTGGCGCCGAGGGGTCCGTCGAATCGAGGCTGGGCACAGGCCGCGCCGCCGCGGCATATTGAGCCAGTACCGATTCGACGCTCTGGCTAACGAGCGCCACAAGCTCGCGGAGGTGCGCGTTGTCAACTGCCATGATGATGCTGC